TAGGTGGTTCTTAGAAAGTGACGTACATGTAGAGATGCTCAATATCAGCACTTCCATCAAGCTTCATTTAACTCCTAGCAAGCTGCGGTCCGATTGAAACATGTATTTTACTTCTGCGTGCGCGAAATTCCATTTCCCATGCCTCTAGCTTCCACTTTATACCGGCTGTGCGTTTTGTTGTACTTGCCAGAGCGAGAAAGTATAGAACGTCAAATGTCATATAGCCATATTTCTAGCAACGCTCGTAGCCAATAGATGATGAGGTTTTGTTTTCTTGCCGACGCTGCGCTCTTTGCAGAATGGAGATCCAGACTGAACCTAGAAACATGCCGAATTTTCTGTGCATTTCTACGGCAAGGATTGCCCCCGATTCGACAATACCTCAGGATATAGATCGGCTCACTGCCAGGTTGATACGGTTGATGTGGTTTCTGATGCCAGGGTTAATTCGTGGACTGCGTCCATCGACTTTGGTGGATACATTTAGAGATATCTTCGTGAAGTATGTATTTCGTACACTGACGTTTCCAGCCATGGTGTGCTGTTTTCTAAACAACGGCCACATGCAGAAATACATATTTCGAGCTTTGGGAGATTATTGTTAGAGTCAGCAAGCATCTTTCTGTTCAAACAGACCAATTCAGTATGCTTCGTACTTCATCTTTCATCCAGCATCATTCAATCTACTACAAGTCTTTTAAGTTCAGTTGCAGATGGGATAGTAAACACATAAAATGTACCAGCTTCAGGATCGTCCAAGGCAGCCTTTCTTGACATTCTGTAGCGATGCCACCTATTATGGTCTGGGTCTTGGTGCTGTGTTCCACAGTAAACTGCCATCAAGTGTTTTCGTTTGCTCGACATCATGCTAACATCTGGTGGAATATAGCAATGCAATGTGACGTTGCTCCTATCTTGAAATCCGTAGTGGAATGGTGTAATGCATCTCAGGGGTTCAACCTTTCTGCATTGACAGAAATCAGCATTTCCGATTAGTACATTCAGGTTTATGCATCATGCAAGGACTGTAAAGTAGACTATGGAATGCTAACTAAAGCAATGAAGAAGCCAGGAGGTTTGGGCTAAAACGTTTCAGCTGACTATACTCAATTGAAATTTCTTTACTTCACTACTGTCATTCACACATCGGCTTCAGCGCTATCAGAATGGGTCACCGTAAAATCCCGGTTTTGTCGACGGAGAACTAGGAACTTCTCTTCTGTCGTATCGTGCTGACGGTACCATCCCATTTGGAGCAGGATCGTTGCGCAGCTCCTCCGTTAGTGTTTCCACTTGCTGTTCCAGCATTCGGATACGAGCGTCGTTGCACTCCAGTTTTCGAATCATATCTTCTTCCTCAGCCCGTTTCCTCTCCCGACTACGTTTAGCATGCTCGCGATTCTGCTTTCTCTTGATCGCCGGTCGCAACTCCGGTGGTGCATCTTTAAGGCTGTACGGGATGTGATCGTCTTTGACTCGAGATGTTGAACTCCCTCCCTGCGGCGAGTGGCGTCCAGAAGAGGAAGCTCCAGATACAGGCACGCCACGGGATCCACCATTTCGTCCAGAGGAGCTACTCGGAGAGGTTCTACGACCGTGTGATGAAGACTTTGACGATTTGCGATGCTTGTCCGGTGAAACGCTCGAAGACTGGGCTTTAGAAGGATTTGGTGCCATTTTGAAGAGTACTAGTTCGAGAAATAGTTAGAGCAGTCAGATAAGAAGGTTGCCAATAGTTAGCGGTTTCGTTGGTGAAGATGAAGAGACCTGAACAGATTGACTGAGGCGCTCAACCGGAGCTCTATAAGTAGTGGTAGGACAAGATCGTTTCCAGTGAGTGTCGTGTGCGCAGAAAGTGGAGCGTGGTCCTTTTAATTCAGCTAAGTTGCAACGGCAGTGCATGAAACCGTGTATCCCGCACTAATTTTCATGTCCATGATTTTTTAGGGGGAACAGCAGCCACATTTGTTTACATTACGTTGCTTTTCTGGAATGATACAAATGCATTGACGATGGCTGACCTAAGCCTTTGAACAACACTGAGGTTCTTGGAGAGAGAATTGAGAGCAACAGGTGAGTGTCAACAGGTAACAATGAGCCTCTATCGAATTCAGCACTGCTTAACACCCGGATGCATAGAAGGCAAGGCGAACAAGCAAAGCTTTCTTTGTTTCTGTATGCGTAGTGGACTGATGGCGGTTAGAGTAGGAAAGCAAGGAGGATCTACGCATTGATGTGGTGTAGAAAGAGGAACGACGTGAGATGGAAGATAAAGGATCCTTCTGGAGAGAGTTAAGTATCCAGTTCGTTTCTGCGACTAAGCGTCGCGTGTGATGTGACAGGTTCGACGCATTGTAAACAATGAAGCGTGGTACGTTTGGTCTGTCGAGCGGGATCAACAGCTTGTCATTCTAAATTTCACGGAGTAATATAACAGAAGTGTGGTATAGATGTTTCACGCAGGACTGAGAAGAGGGGTAGCGTCTCTATTGGATCGATTTAAGCTTAGAATAAAGCAGCAAGGCACGGGCAACAGTAATCTCCTACTATGCAGGAGGACGTCATTATGTAATGCACTCAAAGAGGTATAGCTGACAGCTGGTGTGAACCAACTCGGTTTTCGGATCGAAGTTGCGGAACAGAGCATGATAGCCGAGAAAGTGAAGCCTTCATTTGCAGACTGAATGATGAGCTGTTGCCATAAGCAGGGTCTCTTTTTGCGCCAATCAGGACGCAGTAGCATGAGTGGGCTTCGGAACGGGAAACAACTGAGAATGAAAACAACTTTCTAAGGAGGAGAAGTGGATAAGTTAAGAAGTAGCGCAAGGCCTTGCGTCACAAGTAGAGCTGGGACGGCGATGTACGCTGCCCGTGGCGCCCTTATGTTGCAATGCCAGCAATGTTGGCTGGCAAGGGATGCGGCGGCTATGAGAATGCGTTGCATATGCGCTGTACGGAACGATGGTTGTTGGACGGCAAGTGTTTTAAAATAGTTGTTTTTGGCAGGAATGGACCGTTGGATACTTCGACAAGGCTCAGTTGTTTACAGTCGAAGCGAGCTCTGTAAAGTGAGAAAATTCTGCCACTCTTAATGAGGATCACTAAATTGTGCTCGCAAGCACGGCGGCACTGTGCCTTGCTATTCAGGCTGTGTCACGGAGTGTATAACGCACTGGCGCGACTTGCCCCTTCCTCCTTTTATTCCCCCTTCGCGTGCGCCATTGCTGCTTCCTGCGCTCGGCGCCGCTTCCTTCCCAGCTGCTCGTGGTCTCGACAGCAAAAGGTCACGTCCAAGACTCGGGTGACTGGTAGCTACTCAACCCGCTGTATTCCTTGCTACATTGCAGATGTATCGTTTGCTCAAAGGGCGAGTAGCTGAAGGGTGGGAAGAGGCGCGCCAACGGACGTGGTTTCTCCGTGCGACGGACGTTGCGACAGAGGGAGTGATACTTTCGAGAAGCCGATCTTAGCCAGAGCCCCGCACTGGAAGAGACAACAGAAGCAATGGTACATACTCAACTGTTGTACAACAGAGGTTGTGAATAGACATGTGGCGGCCACGAAACGAGCGCTACCAATTGGCACTGGATATGCTGATATGACGTACCAATACGTGATATGGATTCTTCCCTCATTCCAGTGCGATCAGTATAAGGGCACCGTACTACATCTGTGTTGAGATTATGTAGGAATTGGTGTTTCGGATCTTGCTTTTCATGTTCGGTAGAAAAGCATATTGCAGCACAAAGAAGAGGGTTATAGGTAGTTACGACGATTGTACCAAACCCGTACGGGAAGTACGAATCGGTTTCAAACGATTTACAACTGCTTAGAGCTTCAATGTGACCCGGTGTTCTCTGGGTAAAGCCCTGTCATGCTGTACTTTTTCCGGAGAATAAGATTCGGGGCGGACCGTGTGGAAGACATCATAGCTGATGCCGGCAGCTATGGCGATGTATAGCATTGCTGCCGCTACCCTCCGTACTCATGAGTAGGCTGTTCCGCATGCGTGTGCAACGAACCTAAAAATCGCCCAAATGGTCTCCATTGAGTGGTAGAGCGGTGCGATCCAGAAAGCTGGGAAGGAGAGGGGTTTTCTGTATTGAACGTAGGAAAGGAGTCTGCATAAGATGCCATGATCTTCCATAAGGATTATAAACAAGTAGAAACTGTTTAACGACTGTTTGGAAGTATTCAGTGATCGTTTTTAAGCCAACAACGACCAGATGAGAGCAGGTGAAATTGGGGAGTTGGACTATCCTGACATTGGAGAAAGAGGGGCTCAACATACGTCCTCCAAGGTATGGGGGACAAATCTCGTTATAGCTAGGCGCCGGGGTGAGGATGCGCAACAAAGAAATTAGGATTGAAGAGTGAAAGGGTGAGGGAACGTGAAAGGGTAAGGGAAGGGTACAACCCAAACTTGAAGCAAGTAAGTTGCGGCCCTGGCGTAACGAAGATGCAGGGAGATTGAATTGCATCTGTAGTGCGATCCTGTGAGCATGGGCACGTGATGAAGAGGGGTCATCAGTGACGGGAAAAGAAATACGTAGCGTGAAGAAAAGAAATGCAAGAAGAAGAGAGTAGAAAGAATGACGAATTTAGAAATGCAGATTTGGTGCTTGTGGTGTGGGAATTTGTCACGGAAAGAAAGACGGAGGGGTATTGAGAGAAGCTGTCAATGATTGATGGTGATAATGCCATTGTGTTTGGAGCGGCATTTCAACTGTGACAGAGACGCGATGGTCCAAGTCTCGAGTTGTCGCATCGCGCCCTTCCCAACGACGAACGCTGCGGCATTGCCATCTTCGAAACTTCTGGAACCAACTGCAATCTTCGACGCCCAATTGCCACGTTACACACCAAGCCACGAAGCAGACAGTCACAGGAATCCAACACACACAACACACACACGTTTGGAACTCATCCTTTCGGTACTTGTTTCGCCATACAGAACAATCAAAATAATACCACATAAATTTCTTTAATTTCGTACAGATGCTCTCGTAGCTCAGTTGGTTAGAGCGCCAGCCTAACATGCTGGAGGTCAGGAGTTCGACCCTCCTCTAGAGTACAGCGATATTTTTTTCCTCTTTGATGAAGACGTGAACTTTGAGGAGCTGGGAAGGCATGCGCATACTGCCTACCCATGCACAACGGTACGTGTACGCCGTGAATTGACAAGATTCCTTACGCAGGGTTTACATTGGTTGCTTTGTTCTTCCATTACAGTGTGCTTTCATCATCCACTCGAGTCTTGGACCTGTCTAACCGTCTTCTTTTGCTGCTTCTCGCCGCTTCGGTCACTACTTCGCCTTAGATTCTTTGGCTACCCTACATGGTGATTGCTTTGGTTCTGTGGTTGAAGCTTGTACACATCATGAACACACGAGAACTTACATCTCCCTTCATGATCGCAGAAATCATGCCTAGTCCTGCTGCGTCATCGCCACCCAACTCTTGCCGTTCTCAAACGCTTTCTGATTCATGAAAGCGCTCCTTACCACACCGCTAAGCGATTCCACGTCAGCCGAAACATCAGAGAACAACGAATCTACCTCAAACCTCTCACGCAAAGCCTTTTCTAGCGCCACGGCGTTCTTCAAAGTACGTATTTCAGACTTGACTTCCTTGCCCATAGCATGGTTCAGAGTCACTCCGAGAACTCCAACATATGTGCCGGAACGTTGTGGAGTACCGTGAAGGCTTACTTCAACATCTAGATGTCGACGAGCAGCATCGTCTGTACGCTTTGCGATGAACTTATACTCGCACTCACCTGTCCTTACCGATATGAGACCTTTGATTTCATCTCGCTTGACTGAGAAGGAGTCTGACTCAAATTCATTAGCCACAACGTTCCCATTCACCCTCAGTTCTCCCTGCCAAACCGTGGGGTTGTCGTTCTTCTGCGCAAGCGACACTGACACATCATCAGTAGAGCCTGCAGTCTTTAGGCCAAACTGGTCAAAGTACGTCTTTTCGATACCGTTTCCAGCCCACATCTTTGCAGACCGAATGCGGGTAATCAGCATATCTCCGCCCGCACGTCCAAAGAATGCGTAGTACTTGCCATGGACACCATGGAAATCAAACATTTTCCCGTCAAATCCAGTCAAGTGAGGGTCTCCCTTACCGCCAGGCTTCACGCAAACAAAACTTCGCTTCGCGGTGCACCCGATGCTGCACCGGAACAAAACTACGGGTACACGGACGCGCACAATACGCTTTCTTCCTCTAACCATTCTCTCAACGTCGCGAGTCTCAATCCTGATCATTCGCCTCAAGGACTTGATTGCGATACTACATTTCGGCTTTCCTCTGCAGACCGACCCTCGAGAACAGGTGGAGATCGTTGGGCAGTTCTTCAGTGCGATCATGCATGCTTGTTTGGAGTCCTTGTCGATTCCGGTAGATCTTCCGTACCACTTACAAAAGCAGCCTTCGCCCCCATTCACGGGATGGGGTACGTTGTAGAGAGCAAGTCCAAAGAGAAGCAGGATCTTGACAGACGAAGATATTTTTATGTTACTCATATCGAATGACTTCTTCCGAGAGACTGCGTGGGAAGCTGGTAAGATACTCGATTGTTTCAGGAGAGTGATGGTAGTGAGAGGGGAGGTGTGGACGTAATCGCACCCGTTTTATATCCATTTGAACTCGCCTTCTGAACTTGCCCACTCGAATGACTCCATGGTACGAAGATGACACCATCGATGTTTCACCTGAGATCTGTGACACCCACAAACAAGAAGGCAACCTATACCGGATTGGAATGACGATGTGTAGGGAGGATGTTCTCAGAGGTGGAGGCATAGTATGCATCCACCTCTGAGAACATCCTATGCATTGCATGCCAAGGCCCGCCTTCGTAGACTAAACGGTAGCAGTCCGCTAACCCTTTACCTTCGGTAAACGGTACCGTTGGTAAAGGGTTACCGTAGATACTCTAGCCGAACGCGCAAGTTATCATAGGCTAGCAGGGGTAGCAATCCTAGCTAAGGGTTGTACTGTCGAATATGGAAAGGCTACGTGACACGTGACACATGCACGATTTTTGCCGTCGGTCCGTTAGTTTGTATTCAGTCAAAATGGCCGAATATGAACGGCTTTGTCTTACAAAGGGTAGGTCGAAATTCGAACTTCGAACGGATGACTCAACGAACTTTTCTAGGTTGCAGTGCGGAAAAGTTTGAAATGGCTTCGCTCTTCCTCTCGAATGCAATGGGAACATTCTCGTCGCCATGAATCGTAGTTATCATAACCCGACCCTCGGAATACAAGCTAGAGTTCTACGTCTTAAATTTACCACGGAGCATGGGGTGCCGTTCGATATCTTTCATGGCTGCCGGTGCCGTTGGTACTGCCCACACATAGAAGAGAGCGAGTTCCGAGAGGTCCAAAAGGAAATGTAGCTTTCCCTGACGCTGTTTGCTCTCCTTGTGCTCATCATTGTTGTTCTTGTTGTTTGTGGGCAGACGAAGCCAAATTCCGACTTCGCCGCACAAATTCCCTAAGAAGCTAGTCTCTGTCCCGAAAGACGAGTCCTCGAGGCAGACGCAGCTGCGGACCCATTTTGCTTCCTCCGATTCTCTTCAGCAGGAAGGTCGGCACACCACGGCAGGCGTATTAATGCATTTCGCCTAAAAAGGGGCCACCGGCTACACCCGCGTGATCCCTCGGTCCAGTACTATTCCAGCCAAAGGCGACTTGACACCGCATCTCTAGAGATGTGCTACGACAGCTTCAACTTCTATAGATTTTCTCTGGACGAGTTCGACGACATCCCGGGTTATGCTCATCGTTGGGCAAGTGCTCTCAGTATGGTCAGTAGTGCTGGCAACGCAGTTCCAGGCGGACCACATATCGCAATGCAGTTGTAGGCTACCCTTGTAGAACTACGCCCATAATCTCAACAATCAGGAGCGATATCAAACTACGAACTGCTGGAAACGAAATACGGCCTCAGTGTTAAATCGTACAAAGAGGTGTAACGTGAAGCATGTAGATTTCAGAGAAGAGGTGTAGTAGCAGACAACTACATATTCAAATGCTTGTTCTCTCTCTAGAAACCAGGGGATATAGAAGCCTTGAACGGTTAAAAAGAACAGAAGGTCAGCAAGATGATGAACAGAAGCTCAAGGGAAGATAGCGAGCAACATGAACCCCATATTAAAATACTTGCACACCACTTCCGCACTTCCTATTAATCGACCACGAGGTCAAGTCATGTCCTGTATTTGTGAGTGACTTCATAATGAACTATCTAATATGTTTGACTGACTTTGTAATTTATTGACTATCTAATATGTCAGACTCACTCAAATAATCTTCGTCTGCGTCCTTTGTCCAGTGCAAAGCAGTATCAGTGGCGCCATGGTTTAATTGCAATGGAGAGTCAAGAACACGAAATATTCCTTCTAGAAGAAATATAAGTCAAATACAATCATGACCTCTTCCAGGAAAGTTGAACGTATCAGACGTTTTGCAGAAGGTGTGCAGAGCAATTGAGAAGGAAAGCCAAAGCCGGCAGAAGCCGTTCGGCAACACTTTCCCCACAAACGAAGAACTTCTTGAAGGCTCCTCACAACATGAAGGTCTTTAGTTCTGAAATCTAGTGTACCCTCTCCTATCGCCATTCTTCGTTTTGGACAAGACTGTATCCAACACTACCCACAACCCGCGTCCTCTAGAGCAAGTTCGATGAGAAAACATGTACAGGAAGCAGCGGCGGTACAATTCTTTTTCGGAAGACCGATACCCTCTTTGAGAACCAAAAGCGTGGCAGAAACATCTTCGCGTCTTCAGCTGTCCAGAAGAAAAGCAGTCTTCGAAAACCTATTACCCTTGGTACTGCAGCCAGTCATAAAGTGCAGTTTAGCTTTTGTCTGATTGCTAAACAGAGAAAAGGAATACTTTTCTACAATTCTAATTAATGCATACATTGGACCAAATTGCGCAGATATGCAAGAAGAAAATGGAAGTGGTTCATTTCCGATACGATCTCAACCAAAAATGGTTGTCAGGGGTTGACGATTGTTTCTGATCTCAGAACTGCGATCGAGAACATAATCGATCTTTAAAAAAGGAGGTCATGCAGCCAAGAATCATGAGATGAATGTGGTGATCAGCCTCTGTTTGTAACAGAGTGCAAGCGAGCAGGTTGGTTTTAACACCTGCGGATGACAAGAACTACGATGAGTTTCATTCTCAGAAGGACCTCAGTACTTATACTAATTAAAGGGTTGCGATGTAATCCCATCTAATTGTCGTATGCCTTAGTGGGTGCCACTATATTACACTGTTTCTAAAGATATATATGAGATTCCGTAACACTTTAATAAAAATCCCGGGTTGACTAATCCTCTTCTTCTAAATTGGGTTGCACGAGCTTTTCTTGGCCACGAATCATCTGCTCCAGGCGACCGGCGTTTCAGTAGTCCTGGTCGTCTGAAACGTAATCAGAGACAATAATTGCTCTGTGGAACACTAGAGACGGGCGGCGTATTCAGTTTCTATGTCGGGGGGAATATTCGAATCTTTCTCTTCCGCAGAGCAGAGTGAACTTGTTATCTGCTAACTGCAGTTTGTAGGACACTCAACAAGGTAGTTAAAGATACTGCAAAGTAGTAGACGAATCAAAGATTTAGTAGTTCTGACTTCGAACGTGAAAAAAGCTTTCTTCGAGGAGGGTAATTATCGTTGATTATTCTCACTGACTTCGACAAATAAACTTAAACTCCTGACAAAGATAGAACGTGTTTGCTTTAGGATTAATGCATGTTCGGGATTGAGGTGATTATCGCTAAGACGAATTAGTCGAGCTGGCTCATTGCTTTCCAAGACGTCGTTTCCGGGACTGCAACGTTACGAACAAGGCCTCTTACAACACCGCTCAATGAATCCACGTTATCAGAGATATCTGGGAAGAGAGATGCGACTTCAAATCGGCCTCGCAAAACCTGCTCGAATTCAGCATCTCTTTCCGTAGTACCAAGTTCAGCCGAGATTTCCTTACCCAGTGCATGGTTCAAGGTCACGCCAAGGACACCCACATAACTTTCGGAGGTTTGA